TGCAAAACGCTGATAAAAATACAAAATTTAACCCTTTTTTCTGCAAATGTTGGACTTCCAAAGACACACTGGACACAAGCTGAAAGCTGTCCTATAAGATTAGGTCATTTTTTGTGGGTAATAAATACAACATGAGCGATGGTCTTTACAGCTGCAGAGAAAAAGTCTTATTTCCACTTCAACAAAACCCAAACTGGTTTCTGCACATCGGTTAGAAACGACTGACGATGCTTTAAATTTCATGCTTGAAACATTCGCATGCGTCCACCGCAAAACGTCACAGCAGCTCATTTAAGCAGTGCGTCAAACCACGACCTTTAATCCCAGCACACAAACGTATCAGAGCAGGAACACAGCTGACATTTAGTCCACTCCACTGCTGCAACCATCAAACTGCAGCTGAAGGCTGAAGCTTCTCACGCTCTAGCAGGCTTTTATTCTGAAAAGCCTCAGAAAAACACCAAACAATGAAAAAACCACAGAAAGCAAAATGCATCATGCAGCCAGCTGTTCCTCAGTTTGCATGGATCATTTTGAAATAGAGTCTGTAAAGCTGCAGGACCGCACTCGCCATCGCCCCACGCCATGCCTTTAAACAAACACACATCCACGATGCATTCAGCTGCAGAGGATACTAACGGTGGAGCGGCGGGGGGGAAAACCTTGCTTGACCAACAGCAGGGACAGAAGAGAGGACGAACACGTGGAAGGACAAAGGAGGGAAGACAGAGGAGAATATGATGTTAGAAAACATATTCAGCATCGTTCACTGTCCATCAGAGGTCAGAGGTCACATCCTCTGTTGGCTGCTGTGACGTCCGCTCTGCGAGTGAAGAGGAAGATTTAATCACAGCCTGTCCACAGATCCCACAGAGCCCATTGATCCCACAGATCCCACAGAGTCCACAGATCCCACAGATCCCACAGAGCCCACAGATCCCAGCTTCAGTGGATGGAGCCTGAGGCAGACTTTGCTGGGGTCACGTGTCTTCTGGACATTTTTTAAAGTTGTTTAACTCTTTGTTTTGGTTTTCTCTTATTCACAGATACATATTCCACCTTTGATATTCTTTGTTTCTGCTTTCTGCTCCATAATTATGCATAATGTTATTTATCTGTTTACTTTTCTTAATTTACGATTCTAATTCTTTGGATTAGGATGTATTTTTCTTCTTACTGCTCCTCTTCTCATCATTATTATTGTTGTTATCAGTAATATTAGTGGAAATAATAACCAGGGTTGTGCATACTTAAGTGTAAACCTATTTATGGATGTGCAGGAACGTATCTGTGACGTTAACTTTGAGATGAGCTGCTGAAAAAACACATAAATGTTAATAATCTTTGTGAGTTTCATCTAAGAAGAGTTTGTTTGTGTGTTTGTGTGTGTGTGTGTGTGTGTGTGTGTGTGTGTGTGTGTGTGTGTGTGTGTGTGTGTGTGTGTGTGTGTGTGTGTCCAGAGGGTCCCCTGACCTTTAAAAGCAGCCAAACAAACTAACAGGTGTTTGGGCTCTTCGGTGACGGAGTAACTGAATCACATTATTAATGGCGTGTGTGTGTGTGTGTGTCACTGTATACGTGTTCGTGACTGTAAACACACACCTCC